TTCGCGCCTTTATGATAACTGTTTCTTTCAGCAGGCAAATGTGCGGTATGATAGAGCAAGCTTTTGGCTACAATGTACTGCAAAGAAATTTTTTTGCAGTGTTTAGGGAAAAAATTTTGGAATTTTGATTGAAGGCAAGTGTACTCGTATACTGGAAATCTAGATGCGATTGCGCGAACGGGAGCGAAAAATCGTAAGCTAAAAAGTACTGAAAATGGTTGATCGATCGAACTCAAGTACATACTAGCATAGAAGGTTCATGGGAAGAATACAGCCTAGAATTCAGTGCCTGATGTGCTCCTATAGCTTTTAAATTTATTTCAAAGAAAAATGGCCACTGGCACGCACGTGGTACTCGCAAATTTTTATTTTGCGTTTTCGAAAAAATAGTATCTGAGAAACGCAACGACTACGAATTGATAGTGCAAAGTCTCCTTTACACTGTGTACATCAAAGTGCTTCAGAAAATCCACTGTATCTTTAGCTACGCATCAAGTTGTGAAGACCAAAAATTTCGATTTTCTCGCTTTGCAGAGCACTTGTTTGATAAATCCAACTCCTACAAAAACATATGGCAAGCATTTTCAGCCAGCCAAAGTGTGATTTGTAGAGAATGATCGCAGCAATATGTGGCACAAATTTGGAATTAAATCAGCAGTAGTTTCTTGATTTACAGCACTGAAAAGTAGGCTCCCAGACTTTGCCCCACCCTGTATAGCTGGCTTATTTACATAAACAAATACGATATCGTATCATATCATTTAGCACATCATTCTTCAACAAAAACACAACATCATCTACTTTAGGTAACCGATATCTCAAATCTTTTCTCACTGAGTTTTGTATAAATAATGCAATGGTAAGGTAATTTTCAATCAAAGTTAAGTGCTTCAAACGAGTTCCTTATTTTTGCATCAATACCAGCCACTGTATCTCATTTAGTATCCTGTGAGGAGATTCTAAAGAATTTCTGTTGCCAACTAACGGCACTATAGCATCTTTTACGATTAAACTCAATTCATAAAGTCTGACTTTGCTTCTAGGAGACTGCTATAGAAGCGACAATTAGGGTGCCTTCAAATCGCGCCGGCAGTAGCCGCTGCTGGCCGCTTTTGTTATTATAGGAGTGCAAAATCATCAGTTTTTCATGCGCTGCTGCATCCGCCTAGGCATTTCGGCTTCCAAGCTTTTTCATTTCCGTCTCCGCCAGTATGCAATTCGATTTCATTCAACATATCTGTGTCCATTGTCTCACTATCTTGCCGTAGATTGGTTATCCTCAGGGTCAACCAAGAGGTGTGGCACACGATCGTGATATTAGATATGACCCCAGCACTTTGATTGTTGTCTCAATAAGACTCCTGAACTACTACCTAAGATAGTCTTGAAATGAAAGCCTTACCAAGTTAACGAGTAGTATATCCATATTAGCATGCCAAGTACCCCTTGTGGATCAGTTAAAGCAAATTCTGATGCTTCCTTATACTGAGCTTCCTGAGTGAAACGGTCATTTTCAAACATAATTGACTTTTTTTTTGTAAGAGAATTAGCCATCTCTTTTTGTTGAAGCACTACTCCTTCTTTGCCCACATCGGAAATGAAGTTCCAAGAACCGCCAAACTGCGGGATTAGAGGCAGTGCTCGGCAAAGGTGACTTACGGACCAAACTGTATATCGTTTTGAAATAAAAAAAAGGAGGATATCATTTTAAGCGAATATTGCAGCCCCCCCCCTCTCCCCATACATACAATCGCCTTCCTCCCTCTATTCTCTATTACCTTTATTCTGTAGAGGACGCAAATTGTCATTCCTGCCTTATCGATCCCATTCCTGCAAAAACCGAAAATTTCTTGTTTCAAGGTTCGCCGGTCAAGCGCGCGAATTCAAAGCTGCCCGAAATCAACAAAAGACTTGTTTACAGCGAAGAGAAAATGAAAGACACCAAACCTGTGTGTAGATGGGCAATAGGGGGTTTTGAGTATGTCGAAAAATTATGATGAAGGCGTAGCAAACTTTTTTCGGAGTTAGGTGGCTTTCCAGCCAACTGGACACACTCACCTGAGTGGCTGTGAAAAAAAGGGATGAATTTCCCTTCCTTCACATAATCTCACGTGTTTAACATCTTCCTCCCCCTCTTCCTCGCTTAGTTACATCCCTCCGAATATCAGCTTCAAGCTTGCTCCAAGCGCACAAGGGTGCGCGCCGGGCACAGCATGCTGCCGATAATTGGGGTGAGGTCGTGCTTTTGTGGCAAAGTCTACGAGGACTTCGTTCTTGAAAAATTGAAAAAGCCACATCATGCCGAGCCCTGAAGAAGCAAGTCAAGATCTCTTTTGTCCCATTTTTCACTTTTGATAGCTGTGCTTTCGCTAACTTTTACTCAGAGAAAAGAAAATAAGGCTAAGTTTACTCCTGTTAAATCGAGGTTTAAGCTATCGATTCTTATAAATGTCATTCGCTAAGAATATTTTTATGATATAGTTAATGAGGTGTGGACAAAAAATGTGTGGCTGCCACACCTCTTCTGGGGTTGTGCCACACCTCTTCTGGGGTTGTGCCACACCCCATTAACTCATCTTTGACAGCATTTTTAGCAAATGGTATTCATATGAATCGATAGCCTAAACCTCATAGATTCTATGGGAGTGGATGGAGTCCGATTCGTTCACTTAGCTCTGAAGTAATAGTCAGTGGAAGCTCAGCCATTCAAAGCGAAAAAACAAACGAGATTTTGGCCTGTTTCTAATTTTATAGTTTGGGGTTTTTTAAAGCGAAATTTTTGAAGTGAGCAAAGAAGAAGGCGCAATTCGTATTGAGTGCAGAAAAACACATGGATAATTCACTATTGAAACAAAGTTAATCATGTTCGGAAATGACCACTTCACTCAGATGGCCCAGTATCTAGAAAATTTGGAATCAGCTTAAACTTGATCCACAGGGGTTGACATGCTAATTATGATTATGTCACCCGTTGTGCTTGATAGGGCCCCTTCGTTATGCAGTGTTAGGTATCCCAAAAGTATGTATGTAATGTGATCGTTAATATCTCTCTTACCAATAAGTCTTTTGCCTTGCTTCAGGTACCGTTTCGTAGAGCTGGCTTCAACTTAGATTTGCATTATAGAAAGAATCACCCATCTCTCTTCATTACTATAGGATTACGGTAGAAACTTCAAAGAAAGTTTTGAGCCATAAAAGGCCATATTTTGCTTCAGAAAGGAATGATTGAAAACTGTTACACTAGGCTATTAGAGTTGCTGATTCTGATTGTAAAGTTCTTAACTTATTATGATGCTTCAATGAAGAGTTATGTCGGGTAAGAGGTAGCGGCCATTTTTTCAATGCTCCTAAAAAGTGCGGTTACACCATTAAGAAAGCTTCAGAATCTTGTGAGTAGTTGAGTATTGAACTCGTCGTCCATAAAAACCCTATTACACAAGTTTTCACATTTTTTTTGAAAATTTTTGAAACGGCAGCTTTTTCCACAATGACACCATATCTTTCAAGTTCCTACCGTAATCCTACAGTAATAAAGAGAGATGATTTGCTCCATACTTTAAATCTAAGTTGAAGCCAGCTCTACAAAACGGTACCTGAAGCAAGGCAAAAGAATTATTGAGAAGAGAAATATTAACGATCAAACAGGGCATACATACTTTTGGGACACCCTGTATTTCCCCAGTGCAGTTGACCTGTAGTTCGCCGAAGTTTTTCCGCGGTATGATTCCCCCTGACTTCGGAAGCGTCCAATCTTTCCAGGCGTGCTGTTTGTGGGCACAGAAGCGTAGAAGGCGGAAAGCGTGCGCGGATGTAGCGGCGAAGTAAAAAGCTGGTGATTGCGGTCCTATGCAAAGCGGCGGCTACGAGCTGCTAGCGGTTGCTACGGCTGCCAGCGATTAAAGATGCCAAAAAATCAGTCTGTTAAAGCCATGTTCGGGCAAAAAGTTAATCTTGAGAATTTTTGCTTATCTGGGCCTATTCGCTATGCTAAATCCTAAAATCTTCATTGGAGAGCGCGAAACGGCGAAAAAAGGCTCTAACGCAAGAGAGGTGTCGTAGATTATCTAGATAATCACCTTTATCACTACAGATAATCTTATATAAGAAGCTGAATGACTGTTTTCTGCCTATCTGTCTGTCTGTATGTTTGTACGTATGTTCCGATAGAAAATTTTATTTCTGGACCGATCCGGACCAAACTTGGCTATATACTTCGGGGCAGGGAGCGTGTCACAGGCTACTTTTCATTATCGATCGATATCGATTTTGTCGATTTTTTGCAAAGACCGAGCTACTGGGTTGGGAATCTGGAAAGCAAAGCATGGTGACTACGAATTCAATAGAGTTTTGAAATCGTTCATTACTTTTATCGATTTTATCGATTTTTTTGCAAAGTTTGAGCTACGGGGTGGGAGTTGGCACAGGGGGTGAGCATGCTGATCACTAACCAACGGGAATAGGAAATTGGCATGTAGAAGTGAGCACAGGGAGAGGTTGTAATAGGAATAGAGTCTTTGTCATAGTGTGTTGACAGGGCCGGGCGGAGCGGAGCCGGGTAAGCCAGCTAGTGACTTATGTTCTCTTGCTTCGGCGCCTTCCGTCGCTCGCCCCACTGTCGTAGATTATCTCAATAATCTACATACTTTATCACTACAGATAATCATGGATGTTATATTCCCATCTAGTAGCTTGTCGTTGACGAACGTCACTGCTCATTGATAACTTTACCGCCAGGTCACACCTACAGTGTGCTTGATAGGCTACTTGGCGGCATCTACTTTGTAGGCAATCCTTTATGCTGTATGATACTGCTGTTTGCTAAAAGTGAGCATTTAGGTTATCCACGCCCAATACAGTGGCTTAAAAGAGTCTAAATGCTTGTTTCTGGTGTTGGTTCAATATATTATCACTGTCGTCAGCGCCTGCTCCGCTACTATCCAATCAACAGTTCTATAACGTAGCGGTACCACCTGATCACACAAAGTTTGATCGAGACTTACATCGCATGTGTCAAACGCATTCACTGTGATATTCATTCCTTCGAAGCAGTCTTCCTCACAGGGATCGGACTCGGAGTCAGAGAGCTGTAACAGGGAAGTTGCTTTTTTTGCGAACTTGACGCTTTTTGTCAAAGACATACAGACGCCTATGAGATATACTTCGCGAAATTGGAATTTATCGGATGAATGATTATCGGATAAGTGTAGAAAATTCGAGTGAGTATCGAATGATATTCGAAAATCAAATTGTAGAGTTGACGAATATCGACAAAATTTGAAATCAAGAAACTGCGATTAAAGGAATCTTACACACAAAGCTGAATGTCTGTTTGTTTGCCTGCATGTCTGTCTGTCTGTCTGTGTTACGTATATTCCGAATAGAAAATTCGGTACTTTTCCGTTCGGACCCATTTTTTCAAAGGAAGATATTGCTTCTATCCTTGTACCATATTTTGTCCCAGCTTCACAGGAAGGAGTGTCAACCTTCTGCCACGTGTCAAAAAAAAATGACATATCATCTACATGTCTAACGGGTTTTACCAAAAGTTTGTGTTATCCTACCTAGCGATGTAGTTTCAATCTGTTTTTTAGTTAATTTTGACCTCATTTCGATCAAACAGTTTCAAGATGAACATTGTCATAACAATGACGATATACTATTATCGATGAACAATCTAGCTTGCTTAGAATAGAGAATTTCGCTAAGATTTCGCCATTTAAGAGGCGAGATAAGCAGCAGCAAAGTGCTTTAAGCTATCAATTATAGCATTTTTTGACTAAATGTCAGAAATAAATTTGAAAAAATAAAATATCAAACATTGTCATAATAGTGACGATATACTATTATCGTCGAACATTTCAGCTTGCTCAGAATAGAGAATTTCGCTAGGATTCCGTCATTAAAGAGGCGAAATAAGCAGCAGCAAAGTGCTTTAAGCTATCAATTATAGCATTTTCTGACTAAATTCGCATGGTGAAAATGGTTTGAAGAGAAAGACATTTTTGATCATTCCTGAAAGCAAGCAAGATGTTCTAAAATAAGTTCATGATTGTTTTGCTCTTATGCAAAACAGTCGAATAGCTTCAAAATAATCACAAACTCTCTTTTATCTCACCGGAAATAATTTCGAAAAAAATCATGTCAAAATCAACCAAAACAAGTCAATTTTTTCGTGACACGTGGCAAAAAGGTAGCCACCGTTGAATTTATGAAAAATTATTCTTATTGTTAGACTAAAGAACGTATGTCCAGACATCGGAAAAGTACCGAAAATTCCATTTTTGAACCGATCCGGACCAAACTTGGCATACATACACTTTGGAGCGGAGCGAGTGTCGTAGGCTACTTCTCGTTATCGATCGGTACCGATTTTATCGATTTTATCGATTTTTTCAAAGTTTAGCCTGCGGGGCTGGGAGTTGGCACAGAGGGGTAGTCGAGCATGCTGATTACGAATACAATAATAGTTTTGAAGTCGTGCATTACTTTTATCGATTTTATCGGTTTTTTGGAAAGTTTGAGCTACGGGGTTTGGATTTGGTACAAGGAGGTAAGTGAGCATGCTGTTTACTAATACAGCGGGAATAGGGAACTGGCATGTAGAAGCGAGCACAGTGAAAGGTAGTACAGGGATAAGTATGGAATTTTTATCAAGTGTTTTGACAGGGCCGGGCGGAGCCGGGTAAGCCAACTAGTAGCGGATAAAATTCGAAAATCAAACATTTGAATGAATGAATGTCGGCTGTATTCGAGCATCGGGAATAACTTCGAATAAATATTAAGTACCTTTGGATAAATCGTTCAAATGCATAATTATTCGAATTTCTTCGAATTATAACCACATCTAGAACTTGCTGGCACAGCCGGCTCGGTTGATGGGTCTCTGTAGCGAAGTCGAATGATTCGAACATGAATTTCGTTTGAATAAGAATTCGTACACGAATTTTATTAGAATAAGAATTCAAAAATTCTCGATAAAATCTATTAATATTGAAAATTCGATCTCCAAATATTTCATTCGAAGCCATATTATTAGGTTGTTTCGAAAATTTTGTCCGTTTGTTTCATCGCTCACTAAAACTCACAGAACACCTATCCAAGGACAACTTAGGTACCACTTGATTCGAATTTTTATACTCTTTCTTACAGCTACATTTCTCCTCTGATCTAACCTGTCTTTGGAATGTTATCGAAGGGCTTTTTGACAGCTCAGCAGAAACGCCAAAATTTTCCTGAATTTCAAAAAATCTTGATCATTTTGATTACTTTTACCACATAAAACTACCGAAAATTTCAAAAAGCTGCTTTCTAAACAAATCAAACTAGGTTATTTTGCATAAATAATGTTTAAGAAGAATCATGTTTCAGTTGGCAGAAACTTCAAAAGCTTTCGTGTATGCTGCAGCTGCGTGTTTCATGACTTTGCCAAAAATCAGACCTTCGCAGAAATAATTCTTGAAGCTAAAGACAGTAGATTAGGAGAATCTAAAAATATTATCTTGTGGTAAATTGCTTTGCTTGATCCATGCTTAACACTTTCCGAAACTTCCGAATGAAATCTCCAAAAATTAGCCTAACCTTGAGCCGATAAAATTGCTGAATGGAGAATTCTAGCAATTATCAAACAAAGCATACAAGATTGTGGTTCGAAAATCAACACAAAAGAAGGAAAAGGAAAAGCTGCAAATGTATGTTGAAACTCATTCAGTTCTTTATTGTGCATGGTTTTGTAGTGGCTTAAAGAAACGGACGAAACTTTCGGGACAACCTAATATTACGCGAGTTTTCGTTTTTATTCGAGACCCCGTTTCTTAATTACTCGAGTTTTTGAATTTTATTCAAGGATGGAATCCGAGCTTCGAACTAGGAATGCAAATATATTCAAATGTTTTATTCAAACGATAGAATTTACGTTCGATTCGGACTAAAGCTTACTTATGCCCGTATGCACGTATATCCCCGCTGGGGAGGGGAGGGGAACTGAGAGGGTATGCGTCATATCTCGCTACTCTACGTATCTTTCTTCTTCCTTTTCTATCTCTTGTGAAGGCTCTCATACCCTTATATCCGCGCATAATGGATGCCTTTTACTGGCGTGATTGATTAGATTTTTACTATTTTGTGTAATTCGCAATTCCAATGCCATTTATTTCCCTAAAAACTCAATAAAACGCTGTAAAATTGTACTGTGGATATACTACGGCACTGCTAAAGATGTTTATAGTAGAAATAAGTGAAATCTCAGAATATCGAAATCTTCGGAAACCCCGGCTCGAAAGCTGGGGATCATCGAAAAATTCACAATCTTCGGATTCTATTTCTTCTGTCGAAAACATGATTTGCAGTGCCATAGTATATCCTCAGTACAATTTTGCGGCGTTTCCATTGACTTCTCAGAAAATAAATGACTTTGAAAATGAGAGGTGATCATTTTGTGTGACCCCTGGCGATCCCCAGGGGATCACACAAAATCAAAAAACCAATCTTGTATGGAAGTAACCTGGCACCATTATGCGCAGGTATAAGTGTATGAAAAACTTTATAAGCAAGATAGAGAAAAAAGGAGAAAGATACGTAGAGTAGCGAGCATACCCTCGATACATAGAGCCACATACTCTAGTAATCTTCACTTTGAGGGCTATGAGGGAACACAACCTTCACCTGGAAAAAAACAGAAGTCATCCGGAGCGAAGCCCTGGATGTCATTATTCTGACTATAACGGAACGAATGTTAATAAAGCAAATAAAGGAAACAACATCTTTGGGTTATCTCAGCGAAAGAGAATTTGCGTTTTCATGGCCTTTTTCACGTTAAAAAGAAGGATTCTGTGTTTCGCCAGAATTCAGAACGACATTTCTCAGTTAACATCTTATTTGACCAAAATGGAGTTTCAGAAGTGTAGGAAAGTTAATAGAGTTGGATAAAAACAAGAAACTGTGCTTGAATCTTACGTAGAGAGTCGCGTTCGTAAACGCTGGTCTATCTCGTTAATGAGTGATTTTCAAAGCTTGGGACGTTGTCAGTTCTCCTCGTCGTGTCACGACGATCAGAATGATGTATAATGTTGCGGGGTTTCTTTGAGACCCGCGAAGATCTATGACCAGAGCCAAATGCCCCGTCGGCTCTGGTCTGTCTCCGCTGCTCATCTGCGTCTCCGCGCGCTGCGCGCTACCCCAAAAGCGGGGCGCGGGGATCTGGCTCTAGTACCCTTTTCTTCGCTGTTTCGAACCCAATTTTAACTTGGTCCCTATTATTACGCTGACAACGTCCCAAAACCACATTTTTTGACATGATCGAGAAATCCGACAAAGACCTTGTTTTCAAAAATCTCTTGTTTTTCTCCCAGTTTAAATCTTTCCACGCGGTTTTTTCGTGCATTCTACAGATCTTGCTGCTGTTCATAAAGCAGATAACCACCCAGCCTTTTCTCGATTATGGCGAAATTTCTTGCGAAAAATCGTAAAAAGTGCGTTTTTCTTTGTCTTGCTCTATTTCAGTGCTTTCGCAGCGATTTTTTTCCAGGGGCGACTGTTGCTCAGAACAATAAGCGCGACAATCCAGACAACGTCCCAGGAACATCAATGCGGGGGTAAAATTCAAAGGACGCATCAAAAATCAAAATTGGCTTCGACGTTCTTTTCAACTCAATAAAAAAGAAACTTTTCGTTTTGAAAACTAATTTTTTTCTTGTTTATCTTCTTCTTGACAACCACTCCTTCCGAAAATTTTTTGGAAAAATTACAAAAAGGAGTTGGCTTTTTTTTGCTTTCCCCGTACAGCCTGCCCCAATCGGGATCAGGCCGAAGCGTCGGCTGAATTTGCGCGCTCGCAGCGCTAGGGATTTGCGCTGCATACGCAGCTGTCGCAGAGAGCGAAGAGATTGAGGAGAGAGAGCAGACTAGCTAGACGCAGAAGTGGCGCGAAACCCTCGCGACGCGCACTCCCGCCAAGCCAATTTTGGCCTGGTTAGGATTGGGGCAGACTGTATTGCGAATTGCTGGTGGAGCGAAAACTTGCACTTGGCCACCAAATGAAAGATTTCAAACCTCATTGCAGCGTTTTTATCCGGTTTTCAGCAGCTTC